CTTGATGTGAGAAGGTATGCTTCCATCACAGTGAATTGATTTTCCTAGAATAAAGTCAATTTTGGGGGCTTAGAGAGAGAACAGCTTGTTGATTGAATATTCTGCTGAAAATCTTAGTCATATGATTCTGGGCTGTGAGTTTTCTAGCTAGTTCCTTTTGGTAATTTGTGCCAGTTTGTAGACCAATTTCATGTAATTCTGTCTAAGGGGTATGCCTTCTTTGTTTTTTTATGATGTCCATTTTTTATGATAAGATCTAGTTTCTGCCTAAGAAAAACAGAAAAAAAAAAACAATGGACCGATTTTCTGGTTGATTTCATCTCAAGTCTCTGAAGTGAATGTCCAACCTTTGGTTCCATGTTTTTCTATATTTACTTTATTCCCTGAAGCATCTATGTGAACATTTTAACATAAATGCAAATTGGAAAAGAGAAAAGTTAAATGTAAAAATCCATATTCTCTGCCTTGTCCAAGACTTATCAATAATGTGTTATATGCTTGTGAGAATATTTTATAGCAGCATCCAGATAACTGATTTTAGATTTTTCATCATTTCAGTGACCAAGTAGCTGTTAGTTGTGCACTTGATCTTCCCGTGTATTTTGGAGATGCTGGTAGTCGAGAGGTATAGAAAATTGTGATCAAACTTAAATATGCTTTGTGCAGGTTCACTATCTGACCAGTTTCTTGTATTCCTGGCCACCAGGTGCTCTATAAAGTTGGTGCTGAAAAAGCATGTGCAGCAGCAATAACTTTAGATACCCCCGGCGCAAACTATAGAACAGTTTGGGTATTGAGCAAATATTTCCCTAGTGTCAAGACATTTGTCCGTGCTCATGACGTTGATCATGGCCTCAATTTGGAAAATGCAGGAGCAACAGCGGTACATTTCTATTACTGTTTCCATTAGTTATTTCATCTGCCTAATTGCCCATATAGGTTAATCTTACAATTGTATTTTAGGATTATGTTTTAGGAGCTCATTATTCTTGTTTGACTTGTGTTTAAATCTTTAATCAGTACTAAGATATCTTGCATTATCTATGTAAAGATCAAATTTTTGTTCAAATTTAAAAGCTTTAATATCATATCTTGAGTTTTAGTTGAAACTTTTACAGGTGGTCCCCGAGACCTTCGAACCTAGTCTCCAACTAGCTACTGCTGTTCTTGTATAAAATTTTTCACTGCATGAGCTACATAGTGTTCGTATTTGGTACATACTTATATTGATGAAAACTATTGGCAATGTTTGGTTCCATATTTCTAAAAACAGTTTTCAGAAAATTCTACTTTCTTATTTTTTGTGTTTTTTTGTTTTTACTGAATTTTTTTAATATTTTATGCAAATTTTTTACTTTTTAAACATACCTAACATAAATACACCATGAATGGGTAAAAATTGTAAAAAAAATCTTTTAAAAATTCGCTAAATACCAAAAATTCAAAAAAATACAAGAATTCAGTATATTTTTTATATTTTTATGTATTTCTTAATTTTTTAAAATATTTTTTCACATTTTTTTTACTTTTTAGATACATCGAAGTAAGGTACATCTAAAAAAGTAAAAACAAAATGTTTAAAATTTAAAAAATATTCACTAAAAACAAAAAAACACGAAAATAAAAAAACTCAGTTTTCAAAAAACTTAATCCAGAAAACTCAAACTAAACACACTGATTATCTTTTATCTGCTGAGCATCAGTAATTGGTCGCATGTAGTGTGTAGAGTCCGATTGTAACAAATCATTTATAAGGAAGCTGAATATTATTTCCATTGAATTTGTCACTCACCATGCTATGCTAGAATGCAATGCAATTGATCAATTTTTTGGATTAACATTCCATAAATCACTGTAAGATTAATCTATTTTTGCTACAATCTTAATGATTACAGTACGTCTTATTGGATATTTTAATTTGAATTAGTGACTTGCTACGTGCTTACCTTTGAGTTTCAATTCAATTATTAGTGTACACCATCTTCATTGTTGAGCACCTGTTTTATGTCCGTGCTGGTTCTCTGATTGTAAAGCAGAACCAGTTGTTTCTTCTTCGAAGTGTTTTGTGCTTTATATGATATAATTTCACTTTCATGTGACACACACGCACACACATGCACACGCACAAACGCATTTGACTCGGTTAACACATTGAAAACTGAAGGCATTTGTATCTGATCTTATGGATCCGCCAGCTGCAACGCAGCAACACAAACTCTTGTTACTACTGTTGGTTGATGCTTTGTTTGTGAAATTGTTAGCATGTGCTATGGAAAGTCGAAAACATTATAGAAGTTTGGTTATTTTGGTTTGGCATCTTTCGAATGTTCTTACCTTATCTTGTCTTTCCCTGTTAGGCTAAACTGCCCATGTCAGAAATAGTAGCAACTATCAACGAGTTTAGGTCCCGTCATCTTTCTGAGCTTACCTAGGTATTTATTAATGTTTGATTTTCACAATTCAGTTATGTCTTGTTAGTATAGGACCAAAGATATATATATATATATATATACACATTTTTTTTTTAATTTGGATTTTGACAGAGTTACAACAATCAAATACTGCATGCAGCTCTCTGAAGCAAGTGGAAGCTCTCTCAGTTATGGATACTCTCGGATCATGAGTAAACCCAAATCTCAACCCTCAAATTCTTCAGATGATAATCAAATCACTGAAGGAACACTAGTCTCATCACCCAAAGATAAGGACTGATATAATAAAAATAAAATATAAAATAAAAAGAGGAAAAGAAAAAAAAAATCACAAAGAACTGTACAGCGATTTACTTGAACCCTTTGGTATAAATTGTACAGAAATATAGTTGAATTAGTGACAGTAGCAGACACATTTGTTGATCAGTCACATGGAAATTTTTGTTCCAATAATGCTCCCTGCGTGGAAGGAGTGACTGTTCTTTTTCTTTCTTCAATCGTATTCCGATCTGATAAATTTTGGTAGGCCCTCATAAAACTATCTAGAGGGACTTTCTTATCTCACTAATCACATTGCATTCCATACTCTTGTACTTTCTTAGCTGTTAGTTTTGATCATGCTGTATAATGCAAATGGTCAAAATGATATGATGCTACATATGGAGAAACTGTCTTTGTGAGAAATTGTGTAGATTCGTGATTTGCTTATTGCATTGGATGTTTGTCGGCAGGAACTTGTTGCATGTTTGGATTCCTTTTTGTTTGTCAACTATATTAATAATTGTTTGTTTGGATAATTTCAATTTCAGTTATGTTGCAGTGACTAAATTTTAGATTATTTTTTGTCACTAATGTATTTGTTAGAAGACATGAAAGGCGAGATTTATTAAATCAATACATTTATGACACATCAATTAGTTGAATATGCCCACCGATAATGTGGAGATTCGAGTTTCCTCCTCCCAGTTGTAGCTATAACAAAAAATGATATTCTTACTTGAAATTATTTTTAAATACAAATAAATGAATAGTAGGCCAAAATATATTTTCCAAAACAATCTGACTAACCTAAAAAAAAAAAAATCATATACAAATATTTTTCTCAAAAAAATTCAAAAAGATATATATATATATATATATATCATGAAATCACTTCTTTCAAATAAATTTTATTTTTAAGAGGATTAAATAAATTTTATTTTTAAGAGGATTAAATAAATTTTATTTTTAAGAGGATTAAATAAATTTTTGGTATGTATGCATATAACTTATCTTATTGTATACATATGATACAAAATTAGAAGAGGCAAAATTTGAACAAAAAAATTTCACCATGTATACAAGCACATATACATATACAATAAATATGTAAGTTATATATACACAATATATATATAGATATATATATATATATATTAGGATTAATTACAAAACCAAAAAAAAAAAAAATCAAAGTTTCATGCATTTTTCACTTTAAATCCCAGTAGTTTTCACTTTAAATTTCAAAATGATTCTCCGTTACCTTACACAAACGAAATGGATGAAGGAGGGGGCACATTAAAATATGGATGAAATTTCAAGGTTTAATTTGTCGAAATTGAAACATTACGGTTTATAGTGAAAAATGGGTGAAACTTTGGAGTAGGTTTTTTCTTATATTTTAATTAACCCAAAAAAAAATAATATAAAAAAGGAAAAAAAGGAATGGACAAACAGAGAAGAAGAAAGTAGAGTGTGAACGCAATAATGGTGGGTCTTACACAGGACGAAGAAAGCAATCACAAAAGCATTTACTATAAAACAAAAAAGTAGGAAAAAAATATGCAAGTCTCTTTCTTTAAAATCACAACAATGATGTCTATTTTGAATGTTAAACCAAGATCCATTTGGCTGAGGGGTTGATAAATTATTTGTTTATTATTATTTTCATTTTCAAGTACAAGTGGGGGTAGGAGTAGTGGATAGGGTTAGATTAATATGGAGATGGCTCTCAATATGATTTATTATTTAGATTTTGAAACAAGAGCACTACCAATGTGTTTCAAAAAAGGGTTGTACAGGTGGGAGTGAGAGTAAGCAGCAAACGTAGGGAAGGGAGTGGAGGTGACTAGGAAAGGGGTGTACACCAACCATATAAAGAAATTACAATGGTAGCTCTAGAGGAGAGAGAGGGTCGGGTGGTAGAGTGGGGGACAAGCATAGAAAGTTGTTGGAATGAAAGAAAAATAAGAATGAGTTTGAGGACAAAGGAAAGGGAGATAGGTAATAGGGTAATTTTAATTATGGACAAAAAATAGGGCCATTTTTATTTTTTTTCGTTTACTTTGTTATAATTTCTAAAATCACAAAGAGTAAACTACATTTCTAAACAAATTTCGAGAAGCATATTTATAATTTATCCCCCTTCCTTTAAAAAATATACAAATACTTCACTTTATCCCTTTATAGTACAAGTTATGTGCACATAATACCCATGTCATTTAAAAATTTACGAGTACTTGTAAATAGACGTAAATAATCTCATTTTCTGAAATAAACACTTCACTTTACCCCTATATATGCACATAATCCCCCACTATTTGAAAATGTAGGCACGTGTAATACACTGCTAATTTTGAGGAAAACTGTATATTTTATTCAACAAATTACAAGAAGTTAAGTGATTATTTTCAAAAGAAAAAGAATTATATGCAAATAACCTATCCCTCACTTGAGCCCTCTGTGAAAGAGCTAAAATGTTTCATAGAGCCAAACCTACAACAAAAATTGACCCATCAACCCATCATCCATCACACCATCTTCCTTAACATCCTATGTATCATTGACTCCAGACAAGTTCTTGTGCATAAACTGGGGAGAGAGAAGTGAACGAGCAACGGATTCTTCTTAAACAGGAGATAAAATCATCCTTGTTGATCCTCCCATCGTTATCGATAACAAATGATTTGAATAGCTCATGGATCTACAAATGTAAAGTAAAACAAAGCTTCAGTTCGAAAGAATTACAAGAAAAATATATTGTTGTGGTTACTTTTCTAAGGTTATTGTATGGATTAGATTGACGTGGCCGTTGAACCCATGAGGATGTCGATTACTCACCTCAAAGTCATCCATGTTTGGAATAGTCGGCTTAATGAAATCTCCCAACTGAGCCATATCCATTTACCAACCAAGAGTACACAACTTAAACCTTATCCAGAAGTATAATAAATATAAGGGAATACCAAGGAAAAGAGTATGAGACATACTTCTTGCTCAGAAATGTAATGGTTTCCAACAGTATGACACTCAGCAAAGGCTAATTCACAGGCTCATCTGAATAATGGTTGCTGTAGGACATGAGCTGACCCATATAGGAACTGCAAGCTATAGATTTTCCATCTATGGGAAGCTCTGTATTGGCTTTGTGGAGACAATGTTGGGACCAATTGGGGATCGCATGTATAACTAAGAGAGAGAGATTATCACCTGCTTGAATGTTATTTTACCCTTTTTCTCCACATCAAGGACTCCAAATATCTACAACATAGAATAATCGCCATGAGATACGTGATTAAATCAAGAAAGAATAACTTCTTAAAAAACTTTCTGAAATCAAGTAGCTATAAATTGTAGTGTTGTTTCACATTCCATAGATGGCAAGTGAGCAAAATTTATTCACGTATCTAATTTATTTCCACAGGAAAGGCCTCATATGCATCCATTCAAGACTAAGGCCTAGTATTGTCTACATAGTTATACAGCTATGAAGTATAGGTACTTCGACAAACATGCCATGCCCATACCGGATACTCACCAGTTTATGGTATTTCGTATGGTACTTCTACATATGTACAGGGTATATGAAACATGTACTCAAATTTTTTCTTCTCAATTTTTGGCGTACCCAGACGTGCCTAGTATATAAAGTTATACTGTATCTCAGTCGAAATACTATTTTCTTTTACTATAGAGATAAAATTTCTTTCACTAGACTTTTTTTTTATTTTTAATTTTATGCTTAGCATGATTATAAAATTAACCTGTGGTTTGTAAGTTATTTAATATAATGACATTTAATTTTGATTTATACATTTACTTTTGGCATTAAATGTTAATTGAAGGTTGAATCTTAACACATTAAATCATTTAATCAGTTTTTGTATTATTTCAAATTAAAAATAAATATTTTTTTACAAACGTACCAAGTCATATCCGTACCTTACTTTTTTTAGATTTTATCATATTGACATACCCGTATCATACTAGTACCCGTATCCGTACCCACACCCGCACTCATACTTCATAGTTATACAATATTGCATTTTCCTATTAGGGACCATAATTTCATATCAACTTTGTGTCATCAGCAATTATGTTCAAATCATCACAAAGACAAAACATGGGTCAACATCTAAGAAGCACGGACAAACATGGGACGCCACCACAGTCCAACATTGAAACTTAGATAGTGACTCATGAAATCATAAGAAAATATATACACAACAATAAATAAGAGCACTATTACATGGCAAATTGCATAATTTACGATTCACAAATCTAATATACTGTGGTTGTAACTTATATTGCCTTCTCCTTTAATTAACTATCATATGTGCAACTTAATGCTTAAGTATTTTTGTTCAAATAAATCAGAGGAATTAAGGACTGATGATTGTCGTAGCCTTGCAGTCACTGGTGTGAAGTTTCTGGAGAACATCGTTCAATACTTGCTGCACTCAATTCTGTACAGGTTGATAAGAAAAACTAAGGAAAAAATGCTTCTAGTATTTTTTCATTTGATACTTAACACAGGTTTTAAACATGTGTGACAACAGCCATTCCAACTTTGGAATCCAATCAGGAGCTGAGCATCCTGTTATACAACTTTGGGATGTCAGGGTCCCCATCTTTCTTTATTTTATTTTTATTTTTGGACATTTGCAATCATAGCCTGGGGAGGGGGGGAAACTTGTGCATGGCAAGACATGAAACCCTTGACCTCCATGAGAGATTCAAGAATTCTGGTCAACTGAACTAGTCCTACATGGTTATGTATACATACTGAAAGTAGTCATATCAATCCACAGATAATAATCAATCACCTATCAATTTCAAAATTGCTTTGCTTCTAATTGGGCAATATGTGGATTTAGAGTGTCCTCACCCTTGTAATGGGATCGTTTAAGTTGTAATTGAACTTTTTAGTAGTGGATTATATTGATATTTAATCATTGATGATGACAGAGACAGATATAGCAGAATTTGTGTCTGGCGCAGAAGTGCAGATTACTATAATGACTTCTCTCTCCTCCCACACCCCACTCCTTATAGGTAATTTATCCTCCTCTTTTAAAATATTATCAAATTGAAAATTTTTGTATAAACCTTTGACTTGATATTTCTTCATGATTAAAAATTTTCTCTAAACTAGATGAAATTGGTAACACAACATTTAAATTTTGCGAGTTACATTTTGGCCACTGTTAGTACATGTTGCCCAAGTGTCATAAATCATGAAGTTTAATTTTTGAATAAAGAACAGCTTTAAAAATTTTGCCTACACAACTCCGGAAGTGTGAAAAGTACTGTCATTTGACACAAACACAAATCCTCGTTAAAAGTTGTCATGCTTGTCTTGTGACTATTTTGTTGTTCAAATGTATATTGACCTTCACTCCATGGCAAATTAATTTTTAAAATATATGTATGTAACAAATGAGTTTGCAGTTCAAATGTCAGAAATCAAAAAAGAACTAGATAAAGATGGCATACCTAAAAAGGCCTTTCAAGGATGTAGACGCAAACAAGATATTCATATTGAAGATCGGTAGTTTACATAAAAAGTAAAAAATACTTGGTAACTGACCTTTTCAGAAATATTCACCAAAAACTCCTTTTCAGAAAGATCACAAGCCTTCCATCTCAGAACCCTGAAAAAAGCGTGGATTTTAACCTGTAAGCTATGAGCAGGATGCAAACAGTGAGACAAACAATTCTTGCATCGCCACCAACTTAAGCGCTATTGATATTAACACGAACTTAAATGCAATTAGACAACTAAAGAGAGAAAAGAAAGCATTTCAGTGCTGCAACTAGGACAGAATTAAGCGTATTTAGATACACATGGTCTACATCTTTAGTTTAGTGAAGCACTACAGCATGTTATAATAGTCACAAATCACAATAATAGTAAAAAAAAGAAGGGTAAATTACACTGACATCCCCTAAAGTTTCTATTTAATACAGATTCCTCCCACACGTTTGAAAAATTACATTCTCCTCCCTCAAGTTTGTAATCTCATTACAAACTGATCCTTGTATTGCTGATGTCAATTCCTAAAATTTTCTAAATAACCATTTTGCCCTTTTTCCTACCATTTCTTCTTCCTATCATTATGACTACATTCTACAACTTTCCATCATTAAATTCTACCTAAACATATTCTTATTAACTGATGATATACAAACATAAATTTTATATAAAATTTTCGAACACAATGATATAACTTAATGGTGACCTTTTACTTTAAATCAAAATATCCATAAATATGATTTATATTTACAACATCACTATCACAATATTTTTATGATATTATTTGTATAATTTTTTATATATGAATAGAATTTTTCATTTTTATTTCCACCATGATTTTTCTTTCTCGTCTATTCACCCACATTTATTATAGTATTACCAAACACTATCATTCACATTTATTACAATATTACTGAATTTTTTTATTTTTGTATTTGATGAATTTAAAAAAAAAAACACACACAAAATATTATACTTCTTAAGTATATCTAGATTAGGTGTATCTAAAAAAAAAAAAAATTTGCTTAAAATATTTTAAAAAATCAGTAAAAATAAAAAACACGAAAAATTAAAAAAATCAATTTTTTGTGTGAGTTAAACCAAAGAAGATGATTGTTATTTCTCTTGAAATGACATGAACAAAATATCAGCATTATTTTATTATTTTATATGTATAAAGACTAAGGGGTAAATATGTCATTTTAATCTGGTAGGGAGGTAAGTGTAATTTTTCAAACGTGAGGGAGGGATCTGTATTAAATAAAAACCTCAGGGGGCGTTAGTGTAATTTACCCTAAAAAAAAGTGTCAATTTCAGAACCCAGCTGTTGGAAGAAAATTGAGCTTACATGTTTTAAAATTATGCGTAAAAGAAAAAATAAAGAGAAAAGAAAAGCCTGATATGATAATGACTAATGAATTTCATGATTAATGAATTTCACCACAACAGCAGGATTATCCAGTGCCACTAATATACAACATACTAATGATAAGGGTAAAAATATATATATATATATTCATAGAAATACTCTGATCAACGTTAATTATAACCCTACCAAGGATTTGATATATTTGAGAAAAATAGAATAAGCAATAACATATGCTTTTAAATCAAATAATGGAATATCAAAAATAATTTGATTTAGCCACCCAAAAATCCCTCATTTGCATCATTGGCATGGATGCAGTGTTAGTTCAATGAAAATATACTTTTTAATAAACTCAAATAAAAATCACATCTACAAGCAAAAGAAAGGAAAAAGAAACAAAACAAAAGGAACACAAGAAATGAAGGCAGATAAAATGAAAAAAACAAACAAACAAACAGATCACTCATCCATGATTCAAATACCCTGTTCAATAATCCTATGCCACAGAATGATGGAAAATTGATCACATTTAGGGACTTGCATGAAATTGGTAAGGTGAAGTGCCAGATGAACTACTCAAGCAGTTTTGATCAGAAGTATATTATAAATAGTTCCTTATAGGAAAATGAAGCCATACAGGACAATTATTGTATTATAGAAATATCACTAAAATTAAAATTTCATGTCGTCATACCTGGAATCTGGATTCATGGATAGAAATGTATCTAGAAAGTCCACAGCTTCTGAACTGCTTAAATCAAATGTCTGGCAAAGAAGAGATATAATCCAATTCATCTTCTTTCCAATTGACCAATTAATATAAAATTGAGAGTAATCCATCAATGATGAACTAGAACATTGAATAAAAAGAGAGAAATTTGGTTTAGAGAAGGATCAATGTATTTAGAATAATTGATGGTAATCAAATTACTTGAATCCTCCTCCTGCATTTTAATTATTGCAAACCAACAGAGACAATAGGAATGCACTATGTGCAGAATGCACCCCAATTAAAAAATCAATGGAAATAAGCTCTATACAAAATCCATAAAACCAAAGTGTTACCACAAAATGCTAACACCCGAACGAATTAGATTTTGGAAAGCACGTTCTAAAACATGATACATTTTTGTTCCAAAATCGCAAAATTTAATGATCTCAAAAGGTTTTCAAGTATATTTCCTCGAAGGTTTCCTTAGGAGGAAAATAAAATTTACTATTGAACGATAAAACTCCAAAAATGGGTCATAGACATAAAATAAATAGGCAAGCTCAATAGAGTGCTCTTGACTATGGGAACACACAACATGCATTCTAGATGTTACATGAGCACCCAAAAATTCTTCATCAAAGGCGTATGTAAATTACAAGTCTATAAAGCTTATCTTCAATTTTTCATCATTTTAACCAGAAGATACAAAAGCATGCTTCGTTTTTTTCTTTCTAAAATGTGTTATACATTTATATTAAATACACACACACACACCAAAAAAACAAAAAAAAAACAAAAAAAAACAAAAAGATACTGAGGATATGATATCAACTATTGCGCAAAAGCACAAAATGAAGTCTATTTTATATTATAAAAAAAAAACCCTTATATTCAGCATAGTAACACATAAAAAAAAGTCACACAAAGAAACCTTCCAAATTACTGTTTTACCACATATGACAATGAAGAGATATGAATCTATCTGTATTTTCACCATATTATAACACAACAAAAGTACTCATATATAAACCATTCAATTAAAAACTCACTGATTCCACCCTTGCCATTTCAACAGTATATAGTTAGGGATTTTCCTGCAAAGCATGCAAATGACAAAAAAATTAGGGTGGACTCCAAAGAAGACTTCAAACTCCCCTCTACCCAGAGAGAGAGAGAGAGAGAGAGAGAGAGAGAGAGAGAGATGCAACTTATTTTTGTAAAACATGCAGTATTCTACTGGTTGTTTCCATCATTCCTACGAGTCTTCCAGCATATCTCTTGGACACGGAATACATTTGCATAATTTAAATAAGGAAAAATGCTAAGGACAGCCTTTGGGCTATCAACAGTACGAGTGGATGTGTAAAACGTGTATCCAAATTTGTGAAAAATCTGAATACATGCGTGAAAATGCTTTGGGATGTGTAAAAAATACATTGAGAGTTTTTTGGCATTTTCTTCCCCTTATTGGCAGCCCATTGGGCTGTCATTAGCATGGCTATTTAAATAATTTATTAGAAAAAGGATTGTTTAGAAGTTCGTAGACAAGATGAAAAATTTACAAAAAGTTTTCCAAGTAAATATGAAAATATATTAAAGAATCCAATGAAGCTAAAGTTGCATCCGGAAAAGTTCCTAGACAGTTTTCTAAGGCTAGGCAATAAACACTCTGAACAAACAAAATGTTGCCAAAAAACATCTATACTCCTTGGAAGGAGCAAGAAATATATGGAAAAAAAAAATACTCTTCCATCAAAGTGGAAACATACAACGGAGAAATGAAGGCTGTTAGAAATTAACCAGACAAAAAGCTCATGTCTAGGCAAGATTCACCATACCTCAAGGTTACAACTGTTAAAAGAACCAAGCAGCTAGAGCCTTGAGTACACTTTGTTTAGTGCTCGCAAAATTTAGATTGTTGAGCTAAATGAACAAAGTTCAAGTTCTATGAATCAACCCAATTTGAAAGAAATCAAACTTGGCAAACGAGAGTACACTAAAATATTTTTAGTAATGCATGTGAAAGAGAGTTAGGGGTAACCATTGGTTCAATGGTAAAATCTTGGCCTAATAACCTTGAGGTTATGGGTTTAAGTCTCAGGGTAGCCACTTTGTGCACTATGCCAAAGGTTAGGTGTGTACCCAATCTTTCTCCTCCCAAACACACATTAATGTGTACTATTTGGGCGTTGTTTTTCCTATGTGAAAGAGAGTTGAAGTAAGACATGACAGGTTGTGGGAATTTTTGTCCAATACCAAATATCAGGCAGGTCATTAGGCTAATTTTACTCCTTGAGTTTTATTAAAGCTGATGAACAAACAAAGTGAGAATCCATTCTAATGCACCGTGACAAAAAAATCCTTTCTTTCCCACATTTTACCCAAAGGCCCCTATTCTTTTGACTTTTCGACAACGTAAAGCTTATCCAAGGTTAGGAGCTCAATCTTTTGTCTGAAAACTTTGAGCTGAACTTGAGTAAGATTGGCTTAGCTCTTGCCAAGTTTGAAAACAATCTACTCCTCACCAGCCAAGGCTAAGCAGCTAGAAGTATGCTTAAGAATTTGGACAGCCAGATATATTGCTTGATTTGGCTTATCTACACACCTTCACTAAAGGTTCAAGGTCTACATGTCAAGTGCTATGACTTAGACATAACGCACCAAACATTAACATATTGTATACTCTTCTTCCACAAAATTACGACCTTAAATTTCATTTCCAAGTTATTTTATTTTCTCATGTTCCATTAATTAACAATTCATTATTTACTGAAACCATAGAAAAGAAACCAATTAACATAGATAGAAGTAATACTATATTTACATTTTAAAGATCTGTTTCAAGACTCCAGTCAAGATGAAAAAATCTCCTTGCTAGAACTAAAGGAATACAAGACCTTTTACTGGCACATTAATTTTTCCAAGACTTCTCTGCTGCATTTTTCATCTCTATTTTTTCAAATTAATCTGTGATCCTTCCTCCATTCAGTAATATATATAGATTAATCAATAGTCATTAATAAAAACATTAATTCAACTTATTTATTTTGGAAGAGAGGAATTATAAGCGTTAAATGGTGTGCTTCAAGGCCTACACCTAAAACATTATGAGATCTCAAGGAGACAATGTAAATTCCATCATTGCAGCTACATCAAATATTCTTGGTCCATTGCAAAAAAGGCCATCAAATTAAGTTTAAGAGCTGAAATCTAGCACTTCATAGAATGTTTAAGTGAAGTACAAGATCATTTTTGCTAACCTAAAATCAAGATAAACTGTAAAAGCCAAAACACATGGAGCACGAAAAGTGACCTGTTTGGACACAGAGGCTTTTGCAAGCAACATGATGTCCCCATAGGAATGAGATGTTTGTACAGTTAGTGAGAATCCATTCTAATGCACCGTGATAAAACATTCCCTACTTTTCCACATTTTACCCGAAGGCCCCTATTCTTTTGACTTTCCGACAACGTAAAGCTTATCCAAGATTAGGAACTCAGTCTTTTGTCTGAAAGGTTTGAGCTGAGCTTGAGCAAGATTGGCTTGGCTCTTGCCAAGTTTGAAAACAATCTACTCCTCACCAGCCAAGGTCAAGCAGCTAGAAGTATGCTTAAGAATTTGGACAGCCAGACATATTGCTTGATTTGGCTTATCTACACCTTCACTAAAGATTCAAATTGTACATGTCAAGTGCTATGACTCAGGCATAATGCACCAAACATCAACATAATGTATACTCTTCTTCCCACAAAATTTAAATTTCGTTTCCAGGGTATTTTATTTTTTCATGTTCCATTAATTAATAATTCATTGTTTACTAAAACCATAGAAAAGAAACCAATTACCATAGATAGAAGTAATAGTGTATTTACATTTTAAAGATCTGTTTCAAGACTCCAGTTGAGATGGAAATATCTCCTTGCTACTGGCACATTAGTTTTTCCAAGACTTCTCTGCTGCGTTTTTGACCTCTATTTTTTCAAACTAATGTGTGATCCTTCCTCCATTCAGTAATATATAGATTAATCAATAGTCATTAATAAAAACATTGATTCAACTTATTTATTTTGGAAGAGAGGAATTATAAGCGTTAAATGGTGTGCTTCAAGGCCTACACCTAATGCGTTATGAGATCCCAAGGAGACAGTGTAAATTCCATCAGTGCAGCTACATCAAATATTCTTGGTCCATCGTGAAAAAGGCCATCAGATTAAGTTTAAGAGCTGAGATCTAGCACTCCATAGAATGTTTGAATGAAGTACAAGATCATTTTTGCCGACATAAAAGTAAGATAAACTATAAAAGCCAAAACACATGGAGCACAAAAAGTGACCTGTTTGGACTCAAAAGCTTTTGCTAGCAGCATGATGTCCCCATAGGAATGAAATGTTTGTACAGTTAGTGTAACCAAGCAAGACTTAGCAATCTAAGATTCAATCCAATACCAGACTAGAGATATGTTGTCCTGCAAACCAAACAAGTCAATTGTTAGTTCAACTTCTTGTAACAGAGTGAGTTAGGTAGATACTTTAGTTAGATATTTTGTTAACATGTGGAGTGTATATAAGGTACTATATCTCTGAGTTTTCAATCTAATGAAAATCATTCAGTTTCAATATCTTCTTCATGTGTAACATTAAGAGAGGTAGCTATAGCATGGCTAGTCTGCATATATCCATCAGGGATGAATTGATAGATTAAAAACTCAATACCCACAAATAACTTAGAGAGAATGATATATATACTTAAGGCAGCTCAAGTGGCAAATCAAGACAAATCCAAAATGGAGTGTGCTGTTAGATAATCATCAAGTTCACAAAAATAGGATTCTTCTCCATATTACAAAGAAGTTCTAAGAATCAACCATTGCAGAGCCAGAAACGTCCATTAAACAATTCAGCACTAATATCAACCTTCAATTATACATAATTTACACTAATAAACTTGTGCAATACACAAAACTGGATCAAGTAATTTATAGTTACGAAATTACAAATACGATAATGAAAGCAAAAACCACAATAGTTAATTTTTAAAAAAATCTAATAAATGACTGCTTGCATCACTAGTACTAAAATTCCATAAATGCTAATAAAGTTAAATAATCGATTCCATAAATCATAAATGTATAATATTTTCCTTCATTAAAATTTTGAACAAATTTAATTCAGGTATATTCTTTGAACATAAGGATTGTTTAGTTAATTTAGTTGAAGAAAACAACACCCACTATGTTTGTTGACAATTCCTTTTTAATGCCACAAGTTCTCCTCTCTTTTTTCCCCGTTTTTTAAATATAAGCATAAATCCTCTCCTACATTGTCACATACTGCCGTAATCATCTCCTTGGATATTAGGATAATAGTGATGTATAAGGTAGGTAACACGTGAACATCTACAAAAAAATTCAAAGAAAAAAGAAAATAAAAAAGAATAACTAAAATATTAGAAGGACAAAAAAAAGAGGTAACATGCATATATATAAATCTCTATGCTTTATGAAATTAGTTCATATTTTTTAGTGTACAAGATTGACCTCATTTAAGATAAAATTTTCAAAAAGTCTGAATAATAATTTTAGATTTACAAATTTCCAGTTGGGTCACATGACCCAACTTTGTTATACATGGCTCTGGCCCTAAGAATCAAGGCTATACACCAACAGCTACTAAAAGAATACAAAAGGGAAACTAAAGACGGACAATAGGAAACTATTCCTCTAATTGTAATAAGTTAACATAGTGCACATAGAAGACACAAGGGCTGTTGCATGTGCAGTTACACTCAATTTTAATAGGTACCATAGGTCATTTGTTTGGAACCAAATAACATGAAAAACGTAAACAACACATGAATGAAAAACTTTTTGACATGGATTTATCTTTAATATACATGAGGAAGAAATTTTCATTTGTTTCCATTGAAATGGCTGAAATGTTTCCATTTCCCAAGAGACTGAAACGAAACACTAGTGGAATAATAAAATTTTGTGTTTTCATTGAAACACATCAAAACATAGTGAAACACATCAAAACGTAGTGTGATATACCAAAAGAGTAAATTGTACCTATACAAATTCAGAAATTTTCATAAACATTTATTACTACTGCTTAAGTAAATTTTTAGACCTTATTGGAAACTTTTTTTTTAATAAAATTGAGTTATTTGACAATACTTAATAATTTTTAGTTCATAGTAACATTAGTTTTTTAATTCTTTTACGTGAATGACTATATGAATCTCAATTTTTTTTAATTAATCAATTATTAGGCTTTTATACATTTAGATATATTTCAATTTATATTTTCAAACATTTCTATTTGATCTTCATTTTATAAAATATTTCTGAGATGTTTTTGTTATGTACTTTTTGAAACAACACATCGAAACGAAATTTTGATCTTTGTATATATATAATATTACTTGAAATCCAAAGACCATTTATCAATTGTCTAATTCTTTGTGCACAGATGGGAAAAAAAAGGGCAGGCTTCCACTCACAAATGCAACAGACATAACATCACACAAATTCAATTACAATATTTACGATGTGTTAAACATCCACTGGTTCTGAATTGCTTAGGAGATTAATTGAAATACAAAACATGTTAACAATATACAAAAAAATTATCAAATTGTATGTAATGTACCCATTAACAACTTTGATGTATAAGAATATACTTAATATTAAAATATCAACTAAAACCAACAAGGCAGCAAAGATTAATCAAATAATGTCGACTCATGCTCTGAGCAAAATGGGCAGCATTTTCTTACTGATTTTCAAGGGGTAAAACAATAGGAAGATACTCTACCTGTACAATTCAATAAATGACTTCATTCAATTTTTTACAACATACAAGTTATTCAGTAACCAAAATTCAAATTATAATATAGTCAGGGACACATCATAAAAATGCATGTACATTTAAGTTGATGAATAATCAGTATTGATGATCTACAAGAGTGAGTTAGTTGTCAAAATAAAAATAGCAAATTGAGGCATCACTATAACAACCTATAGGGCAAACTTCACTTTACCCCCTATAGTTTGGGCCATGTGCGGATTACTCCCCTGACATTCGAAAATCACCACATAACTCCCTTGTGGTTAATGGACTAAAACGCACACTAACTTTTGTTAACAGAAATTGTAAATTGACAATTATACCCTCATAGATATATATTATTTCAGGGGAAGCCCAATTCTTTCTCTCTTCATCTCCATCTCCATCTCCATCTCCATCTCCATCTCCATCTTCTTCTTCTCTCTCTCTTAATTTCTGGGTTCAGATCCAAAAAATAATGTGCACTTTATCTTTTACTCTGCAATAAAGGTAATGAAGCAACATACTTCACAAAGACCGCTTAACAAATTTTCCCTTTCAATAGTAGCTTCAACATATTGGCCATTGTCAACAAGCTTTCTGACCTTAGATAGTGCCTCAGGAACATCTGGGTTCGTGTAGTTCCTAGGAATCCCAGTCCAAAGAGTGTCCTCTACCAAAACAATTCAAATAATCTGGCTTAAGCATTACTCTCATAATCAGAGAGAGAGAGAGAGAGAGAGATTTCAATTGCTTCAATTTATAATAATGTATATGATTAAATCTCTATTTGGTTGTTGAGAAACTTGCTCAAAAATAAATTATGTGATAAATTATGAGAAATAACGAGAAATGTAGAGGCAAGTATTCTTTTTTTTTTTTTTTCAATTTCATTCCTCGCCAAAAAATTGGTTATATGTTTTTCAGAATTCATAATAGCAAACACGGATAAGATTCAAAAATCCATCTTCTCTCAGCTAGATTTTTCTATCTTTTTTTCATAATTTCTGTCTTTTCTTTGCTTCGCAATCAACTATGGTTCTCCACAAGCAGAAGAAGAACCAGGCCATCATTGGGTTGTATATATATATACAAAGTTTGATTGGGTTGTATATATATAAAGTTTGATTATACAACTAAAAAAAAGATATATATATATATATATATAATTTGATTCAGAAGTTATAAAACTAAAAAAATAGTTTGATTGGGTTGTATATATATATATGCATATATATATATATATATATAAAGTTTCAGAAAGAAAAAAAGAAAAGAAAAAATGGACTCAATTTGATGAATCATATATTACTGTCACAGATACATCATTGAGTTGTTCAATGCTTTGATCCAACAAGGTTGATGATGGCAAAATATCACACTCCAAGATTAACTCCACTAACAACAGTTACATAACTTTTGGTTTCAACGAAGAAGATAGAGAAGTTTTGGTTTCAACGGAGAGAAAGAGAGAGAGACAGTCTTACATATAGAGGGGTATTTTGGTCATAAAACATAGCTTACTCTCTTCATGGCGCGTGAATCTCACAGCTTGTTAATTTGGATGGAAAAGCTAATTGTGCACTTTAGTCCATCAACCACAGGGGGTTATATGGTGATATTCGAATGTCCGGGGGTAATCCCCACATGGCCTAAACCATTCAATGTTAGATACTCTACCTGTACAATTCAATAAATGACTTCATTCAACTTTTTACAATATACAAGTTATTCAGTAACCAAAATTCAAATTATAATATAGTCAGGGACACATCATATAAATGCATGTACATTTAAGCTGATGAATAATCAATATTGATGATCTACGAGAGTGAGTTAGTTATCAAAATAAAAATAGCAAATTGAGGCATCACTACAACAACCTATATATATAAATTGCCACCTTATACACAACACTACCCAAAAATTTTACAAACAAAAATAGTAGGGGAAGCCAAACTCACTACATTTTCAGTATATGCAACTATGGATAAATAAAAAATCACTCAAAACATACCTCCATGAAATTGTGAAACTCTGAACATTCTAAACATGAGCTTTCCCAAAGCTATATTTCCTCTAAACAAAATGAAAGGCCATATGATGCAAGTTAGGAAAATATATTACAAAAGACAACACCAAAACGGTTTCAACCAAAGAAAATTCTTACTAGGATTGGTCAGAGTGTACATGGGGATAGCAAACAATCATTGGATGGACAGGATATCCAGGGACAAATGCAAGAAATTGGAAAGAAATGAGAAACTCTTCCATTTGTTGTGGTTACTTTGGGAAATAAAAGCAGACGAGGAAATCTATCGAAAGAAGCCTTTCTTTGTATTAAGATCCTTGAAAGCACATTTCTGCATCAAATAATCCCTTATAGATTCATAAAACTTAATACTCTAAATTCTTTTCATACAAAAAATGTAACAACTCCAAGTATACAATTAAAATTGCTTTTAGTTTCCACATTTAGTAGAACGGCTCACCAAAATGAAATTTGGACACCTGATATGCGTATATTTGTTTGTAACTTTTTAAGTTAGCTCTTATGATAACAAAAAAATTGTTTAATTTTTCTAAGCATTTGCAAACTACTTACATAATTTCACAACATTTCATTCTCTTTCTTTTTATTTTTTGTTTTTTAACATTATCCTCATTTGACCAGCCAAAAAATTCCCCCTCCAACAAGAATTTGTACAAGCTTAATCACTTTTAATCTGACTTTTCCCAGTCACTAGATAGACAACAACTTAACAAAAACAAAAATAATTTATTAATGACTAGCCCAGAAAACCCAAACTATGGTTTGGTTTTCATAATCAATTTTGAAAGATAATTTTCTAAAAATTTGTTTGGCTGTATGTTTTAAAAATAGTTTCTAGAAATTTGAAAATCCAAAACTCATTCAGTTTGTTTGAAATAATTTTTAAAACTCTATCTGGTTTTGGAGTTTTCAAAAATAGTTTTTCAGTTTCAATCCATATTTTATTGTTTTTAGTGAACTTTTTAAGTATTTTAATCAATATTTTTTAAGTTTTTAGATCTATTCAATCTAAATAAACCAAAATCGTATAAAATTTATGAAAAAAATTGTTTAAAAAATTACTAAATATTAAAAAATATACAAATTTAATACATTTATGCATGTATTTTGTATTTATTAAAATTTTTAAACATTTTTTTTAAAATTTTTAAGTATATGTAGATTAGATGCATCTAAAAAATAAAAAAAATAAAACAAATTAGCCAATATATTAAAAAAATACGAATTAAAATTTTAAAACTATTTTTGAAAACTCCAAAACCAAACAAAATTTAAAAAATTATTTACTCATCCCATAATGGTGCTCCAAATTTAAATTTAACATATTTTTTCATTATGATTTTTTATTTTTGAAAAATTATTTTGTTTTTAAATCTGAAATTTTTTTAAATATTTATATTTATCAAATTAGTTTCTGTTTTGATACCTGGCGATTTGACTGCTTGTGTTGCGGTGAGAATCTCCACACGGTGCATAACTAGTCATCAATAACGACGACATGAGGAATGTAAGCTAAGTGGGGCCAATATTTGCCTTTCCCCTTTTCACACTTCCCTGTTAGTCTCGGACATCTCTGGATCCACAATTCCTTAAGTGAGGGAGGCAGCCTTTGTACTGGTAATGATTTGAGCCTAGGGCAACCATCGATTTCAAGTTCTTCAAGAGAGGTGAGGTTTTGAAACAACTTAGAAGATAGCTTCTCCAGATTTCGGAAATCCCAGATGCGAAGATTGATCAGAGAGGTGGGCAGCAACATCCCATCTATCGCAAAGTCGGAACCCACCGGATGTTCATCTTCTTTGGCTTCAATCAACAATCTTTTAAGAGAGGATAAACTGTGCAAATCAGTCTTCTTGAAGTCGTTGCTCCATTCTGCAATATTCATACACAGCCCTCGAAGAGAAGTGAGGTAGTTGATGCTCTGCAATCCTTGTGGCCGAACTGGTAGGTCATTTAGTTTTTTGCATCCCCTGATATCCAATACTATCAGATTTGTTGCGGAGTGGAACCATCCGTCTGGAATGTACTCTAAATTCATACAGGCTACTAAAACCAATTCCTTGAGATGCCTGAGATTATTATTATTATTATGATTAGGAAGGGCATCTTGCAAGTATTTGAGCCTTTCACAACCCCAGATACAAACAGACTCAAGAGATGGACAGTTAATTTCCATCCCCTCCTCTACTAGCAGTGCCTCCAACTTTTTACACCACCAAATCCGAAGCTCTTTGAGTGTGGGTGGTAGCCCCCCACCTCTGCACGATATCAAGAATGTGAGGGATGGACAATGTGCAACATCTAACACTTCAAGATTATTGTCATTAATCTGCGTTATCCACCCGAATAAGGATTGCAGAGCCTCACAATCACTTATCTCAAGTCTTTTCAGCGTGCACGGAAAACCCGCCTCTGGAAAAGAGACGAGACTCGGACAGTTATAGACAAACAACTCTCGAACAAAAGTGAAGGTATGTAGCAGCCGTGGCAGTTTCTCCAACTTTTCACAATTACATATTCTTAGACGCTTAAGCCTCACTTTGCAAGACAGTCCCTCTTCTTTTTGTTGCTGATGTTGCCCTTCATTTTTTTCATCCTCATCTTCTTCAAACAATGAAACAAGCTGGGGGCAGCCTTCAATTTCCAAACATCGGAATGCAGGGAGACTGTGTTGCACTCTCACCTCATTCTTCCACAGTGTCTTGAGTTCTTCACAGCGTGTAATGTTCAATGCTTCGAGTTCCATCAGCCCATGAGTAACCCATTTTGGCAAGAGCTCGAGTTTCTTAATCATCCCAATGCTCAAGGAAGTTATTGAACTCGGATGCTTAGACTTTGCATTTGCCGATATCACTTCATCATCAACCATACTCCTCATCTCAAGGACCGCTTCAAGGCTTGTTAGAGGAACGTCATTCATAGCTATCGAGGTGAGTGACAGGAGGCTAATGCTGGAACCTTCAACTAGGAATTGCGGGCACTCTGCAATCTCTAGATTATTCAAACAAGGAAGGTCCTTGGGCATCATTCCACAGAGTGTGGGGCAGCCCCTAATCTCTAGATTATTCAAACAAGGTAGATCAGTAGGCAACTATAGCGATCCCGGGTTTTACCCTTGTTGAATAGTGATCCGGACATGTGTCCGTGGATGTTAGTTGTGGTTTATTATCTTGTTTGCATCCCCTTTTACTTCATATTTGAGTTATGGGATGTGTTGGGTGGGTTTGTTTCAGGTTGGTTGAGTTTAGGAACCAAAACTAGTTACCCAGATTTTGGCCTGTCCGCTCGAGCGGGGGTTCCGACGCTCGAGCGGAGAATACACCAATCCAGTTTTTCCTGTGTAGTGTTGGACGCTCGAGCGTGGGATTGACCGCTCGAACGGGAGTGTTGTGTGTGACGCTCGAGCAGGGGAGTTGGCGCTCGAGCGGAGACCTGATTCTGTAAAAGTGCTGGGAGTGTGTATCCGGCGCTCGAGCTGGAGTTTTGTCGCTCGAGCTGAAGTTTGTGAGTGACGCTCGAGCGGGGGTCTGGACGCTCGAGCGGAGAGACTTTTATATGAATCCGAGATCCGACTTTTGGATCACTTTTTCAAGATCTTTTCTCTCTCTTACTTTTCCAAAAAGCCATTTTCAGAGCTTCTCACTCTAAACCGGCCCTTCTCTCTTAGATTTGATCTAGTAAGGATCGTTTACTCACCTTTTGTCTTCACAAAAGTTGTGTTGATCGTCGAGAGCTTCCTTTTGATCTGAAAATTTCGAGGTTTGGAGCATTTTGGTTTTGGTCTTCATCTCCTTTGGGGCTCCGGGTTTGAGGTAGGGATATCCTACTCCTCTCTATGGATTTTGTCTTTAAATTTTGGTATTTTGAGATGTTGGGGTTGGTTAGGTAATTTCTTGAAAGTTTGGGGCTTTTGTGTAATTTTACAAAAGTTGGGGTCTTATTCATAATAAACCTAGATGCATGTTTGGCATAGAGAAAGTGAATGAATGTTGAATTGTTGATGAAAATGGAACCTAAGGGTTGAAATGTTAATTATGGGAATTGACCTAATTACATTGTTTAATTAATTGGGATAATTAATTAAATTCACCACATTCTGTAATCCAGATAGGCAAAGCTTCCTTCGTAGATAAATTAAGTTCCCCAACTCTTTTATCCGATACCCACTGTTTTTAGAAACAATAAAATTGGACAGTGTTTGAAGATTAGACAACTTACCTATTCCCAGTGGCATTTCTTCTAAGGAATGTGCATCTGTAGTATCGAGATGACGTAGGTTAATTAGGTTTCCCAAGTCTGTTGGCAACTTTTTCAGTTTTTCACATTCTCTTAACATCAATGTTTGTAGATTGTAAAGAGAGCCTAGTGATTTAGGTAATTCTTCAATGGAGGTGTGGGATAGGTTAAGGTACCGTAGATGTTTCAAATCTCCAACCGAATTTGGAACTTCTGTGATGTGATATCTATTCATATTGAGCACCCTCAAACGTCTTAGCTTCGGCAATAGATCAAGGGGAACATTGCTTGCCAAATAACAACTCAAACCATATGGTAAGTTAAATGGCAAGAAGGTTCGTAAATGCATTGCTTTGCAGAAAGTCTCAAATTTTTTCATACCCTCAAATTGCTCCCGCATATAAGATGAATATCGAGCTTTCTTTATATTCTTGCACTGCTCTGGATATTTCAATCTATCCTCCAATCTAAAACAAGTTTCTCTTGCAACTACTTGAGCCAAATCATGGATGAGGTTGTGCATCACAAATTTAGAGCTTTTACCAGTACTTGATGGTTGGAAAAAAGACCGTGACAACAATTCCCGAAAGTACTCACCTCCTACATCTTCCATTTGCTTCTCTCTTTGTTGCTGAATGAAGCCCTCCGCCATCCACAACAAGACTAGCTCCTCTTCCTCAAATTCATAGTCGTTGGGTATTATTGAGCAGTATGCAAAGCACTGTTTCAAATGCGTAGGGAGATGATGGTAGCTTAATCTCAGAGCAGGAAGGATGTCAGTTTCTTCAAGTGGTAAATCCCATATTCTACTATGCAATACATTTACCCATTCCTCATCTCGCTCTTTGCATCGTAACAGGCCACCAAGCGTCCTCGCAGCCAGAGGCAAGCCTTTACATTTCTCCACAATTTTCTTACCAATCGATACCAAATTTGGATTTGCAGCAATACTTCTATTCTCAAAGGCATGTTGTGCAAACAATGACCAGCAATCATCATCTGATAGGATCTCAACGTCATGAAGTTCAACAGTTCCCATCATTCTTGCAACGTCTCTGTTACGTGTAGTAACCACAACTTTACTCCCTTGAGCTCCATCATTCACTACTAGAAAAATGACCTTTTGCTACTATACAATTTGCGACCCCCTAATTATCAGTCGCCAATAATCTATTTATTCCTTATATTTATCTTTTCTTCCTTTTTTTTTTCCTTATAATTGCCCTAGCCCTATTTCACAAACATTGATATCGTTCCCCCCCTTCTTCTCTCTCTCTCTCTCTGTGTCTTAAATCAATCGTCGAAGCTCTCAGATCTCAGGTCGCCATTAACGTTTCTCTCTCCTTCGGCTGCCTCGCCTTCGCCCTTGCCCTCCTCAACCTCTTCCAGGTCTCTTTCTCTCTCTTTATATACATGCATATATTTGTGTATATATCTCTGATAGCTTGTGTTCTAGATGATTCTCGAGAGAGAATTGACAAATAGCTCTAAAGATCTATGGCAGATCAGTCTCTCTCTCTCTCTCTCTCTCACGCGTTCAACAGACCTGTATAGCTCGGCTCTCTCGCTCGTCATTGTCGTCTGAAGATCTCCAGCGGTATGAATCTCTCTCAATCTCGCCCCCAATCCCTCTCTCTCTCTCTCTCTATCTATCAATCTACACATACATATCACTATCTATCTATCTATCTACACATACATATCATACGAGGAAGCTCTAGTTCGACTAATTCGTCTCATCCTCGTACAGGTATGTACTGGTTCAACTCATCTTATTCTTGCCCTATTTTCTTGCATTTTCCATATCTATTAGTGTATATCTCTCAATTTCTTCTTCAATACATTATAGTGAGTAGTACATTATTGTTTTTAACTTGAAATCAAGATTTCATTTATTATCGGCAATTTTGAATTTGTTGAGGCAAGAACTGGTAAATTTGAATTTGGAAGATAAAAAGTCCTAGAGTCTGTGAATGTGAAACTATCTCAGCTCATCAGCTCAATCGTTTGAATATTTTAAGAACTCCACCGTTTGAGCCTAGCGCTCTCTCTCTCTCTCTCCTAAACTATCTCAGCCCAATCAACACCCTTTCATCCAACGTTCGATCCGACTCGATCGTACATTCAACTCTTTTTTTCTTCTATGCCCGCTCCAATCTTCCTTCGATCACATCCATCTTCATTTCATACAACGTATATACCAAACACACACTCATAGATATGTTCATATATATATATAGATGAATGTTTGATTCTGTTGAAATTGTTCTACAACTCATTTCTACCAATTCCAATTGATCGAAATCACCCAAAACAAAATTGTGCTTTTGTTGGGTATCACTTTGCTTTCATTGATTACGAAATCGCTGGTCAATTTCGAGAAATTTGGATTGAGACTTTGTCTTAATTCACTTGGCATTTTAGTTTTTTTTTTTTTTTGATTGATCTATATATCAGATCTAGGATTGGCTTTATGAGAATTCTATATATCATTAATCATTAATCATAATTTATAAGAATTCTATCTCTCCAAGACCAAAAACAAAAACAAAAAAAGAAAAAAAAGAAAAAAAAAAGAAGGAGAATTCTAAGTATTTTTTGGAGCTTGAAATGGCATTTGAAGTTTTGAAATCTAATTGGAGGAATAAAAACTGTCAGCGAAGAAGAGGAAGCAAGAAAGAAGGGGAAAAAGAGGAAGTCTTTGGACCAAGAGGTCACTAGCCAAAGGAGGAATACTTATACTTTCTACCTAAACCTTTACTCAATAGGAATTTTATTTTCGGTTTGATCCTAGGAAGGAGGCATGCTAGAATTAGTAATCAGATTTTGCATTATTACTAAAAATTAGGGGAGTGTTATTCGCACTCCCTCTTTATCATTCTGCACTCCACTTTTGTTTTTATTCATCAAATTTCCAGTAAAGGCCTTCAATATACACTGTACTTTTGTTGGGTTTGTAAGCTAAGAGTATATAATTTGCCCATTTATTATATGAGCCAAGGGTAAAGTGGTCTTTTCACTATATAAATCAAAATGTGGAGTGCGATAGGATTAAGAGGGAGTGTGATAACACTCTCCAAAATTAATTGTGCTTTGTTTTTTAAATTGATTAAAGTGCATATTTAGAATAGTAGATATACATTGATGCTTGTATGGTGGTGACTACTGAATGTTATTAACATGTTCCATGGATTTATAGATCTGATGACATTGCAAATGGGCTCCTAGATACCCACATACATTCTTTTTACGCATCATATGTGTTGTGGTTTGGCTGATTAAAAATTTGAAGTATACTAGTTGCTGAAGGTTCTATTAGGTATGGCCTGGTCTCCTATGTCTATGATCACCATTTTCTGCATCTATTGGAGATGAAGGACCATACATGGAAAAATATTAGTTGATTTTTTCTTTACAAGTATTCGGGACAGTTTGATGGAGATATTTAAATCCATGATAAACAGTTTGAAGCCATGGAGATAGTAGGATTGAACTTTGGTTACATTGCCTTATCATTCAATTTTTCTTAAATCGTTTGATATGAGGAAATGCTGAATAAGGGTGTCTTACTTAAATTTACATATCCAATCTCATAAAATTTGTTGTGTGGTGATTGTGTCAATCGCCAATCAATTAACCACTTGGTACTTGGTTTGGATAAATGAATTGTTTTGCCTTAATAAGCTAGTTGAACTTGAGCTTGATCCAAGTTATTAAAACTACATGTCTGGGAAGTCACTGAATCATAAATTGCTTTTGTTATTTTCATAAGTTCAAACTCATCTGATACACACACCCAAGCATTCAGATCGAAATGGTTCTTTACAGTTTCATCGTTGAATACCATCTGAGCCAGGGTGGTCTTGCCGATCCCACCCATACCCACAATGGGAATTACATCAACTTTGTTATGACTTGATTCACCCGCACCTACAAGCAACTCAATTATCTTTCTTTGATCCTTTTCTCTTCCATAAACGCGAGGTTCTTTTAGTAACGATGTAGACTCTGGTCTTTGCCAAGTCTTAGTGGTAGGTGTGGTGGTTCCAACAATCTTAACGAAATTAAGTTGCGAAGATCGATCAAAACTAGTGCGTAATCTGGTATTGATCTCCTCAATCTTGGACCTCATTTTGAAGTTAAAGATGACATCTTTTGGCTTGAAATTAGGGATGAGATTCCATACCTTGCTGGAACTAGCTTGGGGTGGCTTTGCCTTGAGATTCTGTCGCAAAGCTTCGGTGGCAAACTCATCCACTAAATCATCCAAATCATATGCCAGATCCTGGAGATCGTCGAGCCACAGGTTCACGGCTCGATCAGTCAGTTGCTTGTCCTCGGCGTCAATCAGAAGAACTTCAATTTGAGACAGCATATTGGTCCAATTGGTCAGCTGGGCCCCAATACCTTCAAACGTGGGTAATTTGGAGGACGCCAAAGAGGTTATATTCTCAAACAGCAATTTGACGAAGCCAGAGATAAATATCTCTGCTATAGGCATTGGCATTGTTTCCGATTACTGAAGGAAAAGAAAAAACCAACAGATCAGAAGCCAAGCAAAGCAAAGAGGTTGTTGACTTTTTTTTCAGTGAAAAAAGCCCTCAAAAAATGGCTATATTTTTGTGAGAAGAAGAAGAAATTGAGTGCTGAGAAGAAGTCAAAAATGGATCTCCGTTGATTGGCCCGTCCCTATGCGAAAACAGCATATAAATTAAAAATAAAGTAAAATAAAAGAACCCAAATATAATAATATTTGTTAGTGGAAAGAACCCAATTACATTTGTTAATATGTTTTTAAATGAATTCATTTCTTCTATCATGGTAGGGGTGACTTAGAAATTTTCCCATCTTTACCCAATAATATAGTTTTGAATTTTGGTACATACATTTTTAATTTTGTTAAAATATATATATATATATATATATATATTTTTTTTTTGTTACTTGTTATTGAATTTAAAACTAAAAAATACTATGAGCAAAATAAAAGAGAGACCAAAGTAAATTTAAAACTAATTATAAAGACTATCGGTAATATATTCATTGTATTGTTTGTCCATGTAATTTGTTTTGAACTTTTTTTGATCTTTCTAATTTTGCATTTAATTTTTTCTCTTCCAATTGTTAACTACATTTGACGGAGACACTATCTTGTAACGAAATTTAAAATTTAACAACCAAAATGTTCAAATTAAAATTACGATGACTAAAATGACACTTTATTTAAATTACAGAGACTACTTGTCTAGAAACAAACTATTTTAGTCACTTTTTATTTTTTGACTAAAATATGAGATAAAAAAACTAGTATGTTTGGAATAATTTTTTAATTTTTTACGAAAAGATGTGCACAAAGTATAAAGAAATGAGAATCTTTGATATTTTGATATAAATTATAGACTTTTTGATTTTTTTTAATAACTTTTTTACTTTTAGGCTAAAACAGACACATGCCAAACAAGGCCTTAATTAACAATTTAATTATTTTTTCCCCTCTTTTGTAAGAGATAATTGGACAAGTATTCTAAAACACCCCAATGTAAAGTAGTACTCTAAAAACACTAAATAATAGGAAATTTAAAATACAAAATGAACAATATAAATTATCAGAATGAAAATTATAGCGAATTTCATAAATCCGAACAACACTCTTCAATACAAATCATGGACTAAATTTTTTGTTTTTTATTATTTTTGTGAAGATTTGCTTGACAATCATAAAAAATATATATATTCTTTTTCACTGTAACTTTTTTTTTTTTGTTTTGGTTTTTTGGGCCTTGATTTGATTTTCTTGTTTGCTTTATTTTATTGTCTTAGGTTGCAAGTTGATAGCTTGTCAACCGGTAGCCTTAGATCTTCCTGGAATCAATACAAGAAAAGTGGTAATGTTAATTGGGTAAATTAAATTGGGAGTTTTTATATTTTGTCTCATATATCATTTTGATTCTCACATTTTTTATTGATTTAATATTAACTTCAATTTTAAATTTTATATTAATGAAATGATTGAGATTGATTCACTTAGTTAAAAAAATTTACAATTTTATTCTTAAAAGCGTAACTCATGCTACTTATGTGTTTACTTTTCATAATTTTTTTAAAAAAAAGAAAAGAAAAAAGAACTTAATGATTGCAGTTAATAAGGTTAAATTGAAATAATAAAACAGTTAAGATTGAAATTGAATTAATTAAATTACAAAGATCGAAATGACGCCAAAACCAAACCATAGAAACTAGTGGTTAAAATTTTGGATGACTTACGTATAGGTCATAATAAATGGACTTATTGTCTAATAGTTTCTATGATAATTAATGATTTTTTTTATCAAATACTATTAAAAAAGTCACTAATTGTTAATTTTCAGCGACAATTTGAAAATTGTCACAAAAAATGCCAGTAATTATAAATTTTAGCGACAGTTTAAAAAAATTGTCACGGAAAAAGTCATTGATTTTTAAATTTCAACTAAAATTAAAAAAATTTATCACAAAAAAAGTCACTAATTGTAAGTTTTAGCAACAGTTTATAAAAATTGTGATAAAAAAAGTCATGAATTGTTAATTTTAGCGACATATGCAAAAAATCGTCATAAAATTATTTTTAGCGACAATTTTACTATAACTTATTTTCAATAGGGCTTAATACGAATTAAATATAACTATTAAGATTTATTGGTAGCTTATCCTGAAATTTGTGTTTGTTTATTCTCTTATTGTAATGTGTAATGGTGTTTGTTTGGTGTGCATGAGGCTTTTCTCATATCATACACAAGCATATCATGCCAATTACTCATTTTTGTGAATGAAATGTTTCTCCCCTCCTTCTCTATGGAATTTTTGTAGATGAGTTTCTTATCTATCTATTTATATATTATATAAGAAAAATGGGATTTTTAACCCACAAGCCTTATGAGAGTTTCAATATCCCCATTTTAATTTTCTAATTTTTTGATTTAAGAAAAAAAAAACTCAACTTGTATTGACTTCTCCCAACCCACAAGCCTTTTTGACTTCTCTCATACCTATTGCCACACCATTTTCAACTTCTCCCATATACTACTGTTAGTGATGAGATTGTTAAATTATTTTTATAAAAAATCTAAAAAAATAATTTGTATATTAAAAAAGTATCTAAAATAAATATAAATTCTTATTAAAAAATAACAGGTTGCAATTACGAAAAAAAAAAGAGAAAAAATTACACTGTGCATTTCATTAATAATGTTCAAAAAATATGCCAAGTATTTGTGTAAAGGCTTGACACGTGTCCACTCTCAAATTATCAAGAGAATATAGATGAAACCAAAGAATTCAGCTTTAATGGCTAACAAATATTAAAAGCCCAACCATTGAAGCCTAATAATTATTAATTAACAGAATTCAACAATTAAAAGGTCTCAAACCACATCTCTTTTGTCTTTGCAAATGTTCCTTTTTTTTTTTGTTCATGCATTCATTTTAATATTGATAGAGAATTGGACGTGTGAAAGAGTGAGAGACATTAAAATTATATGTTGAGTTATGTAATTGTTGTGATGAAAAATAAACGTTCCCTTCCTCTTTTATGACGATTTATCTGATTATACCTTCAATTAAAACGTCAGGTGTGCTTCTATATTATCATTGAACGTTACTTTCATTTTTTTTAGATACTTTGTCTCACAATTATTTGTATTTTGTGTTATGCAATTTATTACATCTGTGTTTGCTAAAGTTATTAGATGGACCTAATGTAAGAAATGCAAACTATTTTAATGTCATTTTCGGAGTTAGAAGTACAAAAAACATACACAAAAAAGTATATGAATAGATAAGATTTTACAAAATTTATTTATGAGTCTCGCTTCTTGAAAATCCTATAATTCATTTATTTTTGTATTATTCTTATATTTGGTTTCTGTAATTTTTTATTGTTATATAGTTTTCTTTAAAAGTTTATTTTTAAAAATTAATTAATAAATAAATAAATCATTTTCTATTTCAAACAATTTTATTTTTATTTTTATTTTTATTTTTTATTTTTTTTCCTTAAAATAGTTTTAGTTTTGGGCAATTACTTACTTTTTTTTCTCTATATATTGTAATTTTGTGCATTTTAAGTGTGATATTTTCACTAATACACTCGAAGATGCACTATAAAAGAAGTATTATGCGAAAATCAAGCAAAAATAAGAAAAATAAATAAAACAATACGATAAATGTGGAGCAAAGATCAAACTCCCAAAGTAAGCAAGCAAACAAACAAATAAGCATAATAGAATGTTTAACAATAGACATTTGAAAATTTGCAACAAAATTTTATAACTTTCCTTTTTGCTAAGAAATTCTATTTGGCACTAGCTAAATAAAATGCTTTTAAAATAATTTTTTTTTAATTTGAAATTAAAATTATAGTAAATTTATGTAAGCAAAATTGCTAATCACATTTTTTTACTTAATGTATAATATTATATTGATTAACTTTTTCATGTTTATTTTTTAAAATATTTATATAGAAGTAAAAAAAATGTTGTTAAGAATAAATTTTTCCTTAATTTAGTTATAATTTTGCCCATACATTATTTTTAAATTTTAAATAAAAGAAAACACAAAATAATTGATTGAAGATATGCAACATTTGTTATATTTCTTTTTTCTGTATGCCAAAAAAAAAAAGATATTTAAAAGTTGTAATTCACATATATACAAACACAATCCGTGCATAGAACGGGTGATACACTAATTTCACATTAATACAAAGCAAACGATTGATATATGTCAATTTTAAACAATATTTTTGTATTTGTCATTAATAATTTTTACAAATATCTCGTAAAATGTGAAAGCGATAGAGATATTTGATTTGAGATGTTCTAAATAAGTGTACTTTTTAATTTTTTTTTATAAAAAAATGTGTAAAAAAATAGAGAAAAAATATTAATTAATGTGACTCAAAAAAAATAAAAAAATAAACTTATTTAGGGGATGACTAACAGCAAACTCATGATCCCCCTCCCCCGTTGAATGAGTTAAAAAAAAGGGGTCATGTATGGCATTCACATTTCATATTCAAATCCTTGACAAATTTTGTTAACCACTCTGTTTTTGGACCATCATACACACTACTTCAGCAAATAAGACAACAATTAAATCCACTTCACCTTATATGCTAATAGTATTATTAATAAAATATAATCAGAGTCAAATATGTTACAATACCTAAGTTAGGGATCAAAATTCTGTTGGAAAATTTATAAATTTATAAAGAGGTAGTTGTGAATTGAAATAGACTCTATTTTGAATGAAAGGGTGTAACCTTTCATGGTGTCTTTTTGTTTTAAAAGAAGGGTCTCTATTTTGAATGAAAGGGTGCAAACCTTTCATGGTGTCTCTTTATTTTAAAAAAAGGGTCATGTCCCATCTTCATGCCTTTTCTATTCAAACTGCATAGGTGCCAACAAAATCTATATAAAGGTAGCCCCATTCCAATTTTATTGATTTCCAAAATTCCTCAAATTCAAGCAT